ATTGTACTGGCTCCTTCTAGCAAGTAACATCCCCCCGAGAAAGCTGTCCATAGGTCTCATTGTTAAATGGTGCTAATAACATTGATGCCTTCGACATTCTGAAAAGCATAAAACTGTTCTTTCCAAAAATTCCTTGTCGCTTCAGGAGAGTAAGTAAATTCTACTCAGTATATAAAGCATTATGCATACTCACTTTACAATTACCCAAAACAAAACAGAAGGGCTATTCTAATTTTAAAGAACGCATATTGGTTTTAACAGCCTTGGTACCACTGCAAACATTTTAAAGAATATTAATATTTTACTGTCTCCCAATCTTACAACCTCTCCTATTTCATGAAAAGTTGAAGGGGTTTTGCTGTTGTTGTTGTTTTGTGTTTTGTAATGAGTTGATCTGGAAACATATCAAGAATTCCCAAAATCAATAGCCTTAAGCAGTGATTCCCAATTCTGGGGAATATCGAAACTATTCAGGAGATGTATCAGTTTCTTATTGCTGCTATAACGAATTATTAACACAATACTTGGTGGCTTAGAACGACAGAAACTTTTTTTTTTTTTTTTTTTTTAATACTTTTGGAGGTCAGGAGTCTAAAGTGAGTTTCGCAGGGTTAAGAGTCACGTGTTAGCAAAGCTGGTTCCTTCGGCAGACTCCAGGGGTAAATATCCCTTTTGCAGCTCTGGTGTCTGCCAGCATCCGTTTGCTTGTGGCTGCATCCCACCACTATCTGCCTCTATGGTACCTGCCTTCTCCTCTTCTATACTCTAATTTCTCCCCGTTTCCTTCTTATTAAGACAAGGATTGCATTGAGAACCCGCCTAGATCATCTTGGATAATCTCCCAGTCTGAAAATCCTTAATTTAATCACACCCATGAATTCCCTTTTACTCTATCAAGTAACATTCACAGGTTCCAGGGTCTAGGACCCGGATCTTTAACAACCACAGGGGGCCTTTCCAGACTGCGCTGGCCCCTGGAGACGTCTCACTCCGCCCAACCCTTCTCTCTCGCGGAGAATCGCCGATATTGCCGTCCTGACAGCTGCTGCTCTGAGAGTTTTTCTGCTATGTGAAGCAGAAAAAAATACAACTTGAGGATCGCTGCCTAAAATATAAGTCACATTGTCATCACTGTGTCATTGATTAGATGCCTGTGAAATTTTAATCTCTGAAAATGAAACATTCAATCATTTCATAAAGCAGGATTTAAGCTTTCATATTTCAATATTTAATAAAATATAAAGTGACTGAATGAAGAATATGTGGCAGATATTGAGGCCTCTGTTCAGAGTTTTATTTTTTTCGTGCTTTCTATTTTGATAAGAGCTCCTGAGCGTGTGATACCCACGGAGGTGAACAGCTGACACAATCTAAATGTGCTGAGAATAGACATCTTAAGCTGTTTAGTCATGTCTCGGCTGAAAGATTAGATTTAAATATTTGCCAGTAGTTCTTAAAACACATTCAAGCAAAAGGAAATTTGTACAACACCGAGCTGAAATAGATGCATTTCATTTTCCATTAAATAGTTACATTCCTGGCAATGACAGATAGTCAAACTCATCCCTCGTGATACCGCTAAGAATTATTTAACTGGTCACATTCTACTTTCTGCATTGAACAAATATTTCTGTAAAAGGAACAAAATAAAATAAAATACCCTGTAGCTGCACTACCACACCTTCTGAAATACTCAAGGTCCTTTTTCACAGGGTTATGGTCCTACTTCCCCTTCCTTTCCATATTATCTCTTCATTTTTCTCTAGCCCCTGTGGATCCCAATCCTCAGGCTGCAGACTGGTACCAGTCCATGGCCTGTTAGGAACAGGCCACACAGCAGCAGGTGAGTGAGCGAAGCTTCATCTGTGTTTACAGCAGCTTCCCATCACTCACATCACCGCCTGAGCTCCGCCTCCTGTCGGATCAGCAGGAGCATCAGATTCTGCACTATGGTGAGTTGTGTAATTATTTCATTATATATTACAACGTCATCATAATAGAAATAAAGTGCATAATAAATAAATATAATGTCCTTGAATCATCCCTAAACCATCCCCCCACCCCCAGTCCATGGAAAAATTGTCTTCCATGAAACCGGTCCCTGGTGACAAAAAGGTTGGGGACCGCTGCTCTAGCCCACTTAGCTTCCAGTTCAAGATTCCAACTCTCTACACTTTGTGAGAAGAACTCTGCTCTGGCCATATCTAGGGTGCATCGTCTGTCACTGGCTTTTCATTTCAATTGTTGACAGAACTCAACTGGATTCAGTCTCGAATAATCCCCGCCGGGACCAGACCTCAGCAAAGCTTCTTCCGTGTGATTAGATTGATCAAATCTCTCCAGTGGCTTCTGATCATCCCTGGGATGAGTTCAGACCTCCTACAAGAGGTAGGAGGCCCTCCCTAGTGGGGTTCATGCTGAAACCCGAACTACCTTTCACCATTCCCTTCCCGGCACGCTGGGTCTCAGCCTCGCACTTCCCAAAGCGTGCCCGAATAACTCATAATTCCACGTGTACCTCATCTGAAATAGCCCTCATCAACTGCCAGCATCTTATTCGCCACTCAAAATTCAGTTGGGGGGCAACGACTCCGTTAGGTTTCTCCAAAACGTCCTCTTTAGTCTCTAGCAAATCCTTCCTCCTTTATGTTCCTGCAGGTCTTCACACAGACCGCTACGGGGGCATCCATGACCCTGCATTTACACTGATTTGCCCACATTTCTGTGTTTCCACATTAACGTGTGAATTTCCATATCACGCCATAGGCATTTTTGTGTCCTCTGTTCCCAGCACAGCACTGACACCTACTAGATAATCAATAAACACTTGCCAAGGACTGAATCCAGAATTTCATCTCTACCTTCTCCCTGCTTTAAAACCTACTTTAGAAAACTTTTGTTATGATTCAGTTACACATAGGTATAAACATAAATTCACACTCAGGCTGAGCTGCTTTTAATCTATATTTTTAAGTGTAAAAGAAAGGTGGTCTCCTCTACTGATAGATTCAGGAAATTAATAAGCATTCAGGATGTTTCAGAGGATACAAAGCCTTTCTGACATTTTGATATCACACCATTAAAGGGGCTCCTCTATAGCTTATAGAAAGATAACTCCAGGATTTGAGATCTGCACAGCCCCAGGGTTGTAATGGAGCTAATCTCAACACCTGATTGGATCCCTCTATAGTATCCAAAATGATGGTCAAAACTCCTATTTGAGCATATCTAGCAACCTCTCAAGGAAGCCCGTTTCAGCTTTTGCATGTGTCTTTTTAGAAATCACACACTTTGATATTTTTGATCCCTCTGGTCAATACTAAATGAAATTGGAAAGTAATGAAGGAAGGAAAATCCACCCCTGCGAGGTTTAAATTAAAAAATCAAGGAACACAAATCGTGTCAGGGCACCTTTATGCTTCTTAATTTGAGACTCAAGAATGCTGGCCACTTTAAAATAGCCATATCTGAGATAATAAAGATTACAACAGGAAACGGTTTGATCGTAAATTGCTATGGCAGGAAACTGATTAGTTCAGCAAGGAGACAGGATGCTTCTTGTCGCTGCCGTTGTCTGAGTTAATTCTACGCCTCCTCCGTGGGCCAACTGCTCTGAGATAAAGGATTGTAAAGTTGCGTCTTGAAAGCAAGCTGAAGTACGATTAATAATAAATGCTGGGACAATAGAGAGCACTGCTTCAAATTACAAAGAAGCTCGAATCAGTGAGTGAAGGTTAAAAGAGAGTCTAGCAAAATACGACAATGACCTTTCTACATGATAGAAAGTTCCATGTGATGTGCTTATAATAAAAGGAATACTCTCAAAATTAGTAGTAGACATGCTTTGAAAGAAGACTTTCTTGGGATCATCTTTTCTATGAAACCTGAACAATCTAAATTGGGTTGCGTGCAAAGTGCTGAAATTTATTACTCAGTATTCCACCCTGCGGTAAGTAGAATAACACTCCCACCAAAATGTCTATAACTTAATTCCCTGATACTGTGAATAAATTATCTTACACGACGAAAGGGATTTTGCGGATCTGATTAAGGTTAAGGACCTTGAGACTGAGATGAGAGGTTAGCCTGGATTATCCAGGTGGGTCCAACCTAGTCACATGGGTCCTTAAAACTGGAGGACTTTTCCCAGCTGGGTTCGGAGTCGGAGAGAGATGTAATTACAGAAGGGTGGTCAAAGAGAGGTAACATTTCTGACTTTGAAGATGAAGAAAGGAGACCACTGAGGCAAGGAATGTGAGTGGCCTTGAGAAGCTGGTAAAGGCAAAGGAATGGATTCTCCCCTAGAATATTCCGTGCCAACACCTTTTAGCCCACGGAAGCCCAGTGAGACCTGCGTCAGAGCTGTGATCACAACTGTTGGACAATTTACATTCCTATTGCTTTAAGCCATCAAGTGTGTGGCAATTTGTTACAGCAGCAGTAGAGAACTAATACACAGCCACGTCCCTTCACACACATTACATAAACTGCAACCACCTGTCATTACCCTAACGATTGCACACGACTTATTTCTAAAATATTTTTCAGAAGCAATCAAAAAAGGTCCTGAAATAGTAGATCCTTCAAAGAGGAAATAAGAGATTCAATAAGCATTTAAAAAAAAAAAAAAAAAAAAAAAAACCCGGACAAATTATCAGCTTCTCTCAATAAATCCAACAGAAAATATTCAATTTGCTTGAATTTCTCTTGCACTTGAGCGGAAACATCCTTTACTTCAACTACCTCCCCTACCTTTCTCTCCCCTTCTTCTCATAAACCTGATTTTAATGTGTTTTTTAGATGAAGTTTTTTAATAAATTTATTGACATGCATGTTTTCTAGAATTTATTATAGTGATAAGAACAATTAAAATTCAATTTGCTAACTGAAACTTTGGTTTTTTTTTGAACAATGTGGCATTCATTCATATTTCAGACCTTACTTTACATCTTACTGATTTAAAAAAAAAAATAGAATAGAGTTGCAAATCCTTTACTTACCACTTTGCAGCAAAGAGGCCAAAACCACCACATCAAAGCGATGCCCACCAGTAGCAGTAACACCAGAATAACAATGAGGGCTGCAATCCCACTGGACTAAAGCAGGCAAAGACAAAAACAACATAGTCAGCAAAATTTATGGTCAAATTCCAAATGTGTGTTTTTTAAGGGAACACCAGCAAATAATACAGAAAGCATTAATGTCAAACTAGATATAGTCTTTTAAATTCTGTAAATTCTATGAATTCCTTTATTCTACTTAGTATATGTTATGTTATACTAGATATAGTCTTTTAAATTCTTTAAATTCTATAAATTCCTTTATTCTACTTAATATATGTTATGTTATGTTAAGACAGACAATAATAAACACAAAATCTTCTAAAGTGCTACAGATCATTTTCCAATGTGTCTGAAAGTAATACAGGAAAACTCACTCCTTGGGATTAGATGGGTGCCTATATTTTGTGTTCCAAGCATAATTACCCTTAGGCAGAATTTAGGCAGAATTCCCCTAGACTTTCTTATGATGGAACATTATTTATTTTATATATTTAAATAAGAAGATGAATACAAAACGTCCCCAAGTAGATTACAAACCCACAATGGTTCTTGTTGGCAAGTGGTATATAAACATCAATGCAAGAATGAGGTTGCATGCGTTCACGTATCGTAAGATTACTCATTGAAGTTCAAGTATGACCTGCGCAAGATCCACACCGGGGTTCTTTCAATTTCTCAGACCCTCTGGCTAGAAAATGCCCCTCTTGATTAAACAACTCATAATTCTCTGTACTTTAATCTTCGGCACTTGTCACAATGCAATTAATTAATTATGAGTTTTGTGATTATTTTTTTTTAATTCCTCTTTTCTGCCATGATTTATTGTGAGCTCTAGGAAGTCCGGGGCTAAGTCCAACCTACTTACCACTGTATACTCCATGCCTGGCATTTAAAAACTATTCACTGAGAGAATGAACACCAAAGAAATGAGATTGCAAAAGACACAGACACAAAGAGTGTTTACTGACCTTTCAGTGTAGAGATAGTTTCCAAGGGAACACAGTGTCTCTCTCAAAGCCCTACTCTCCAGGATCCCCAGTAATAATGTTTTGTTGTGTTTTTGTTTTGTTTTTTAAAAGGAAAGAATTCAGGGGAGAAAAAGAAGGTGGGATGGGGATAAATACTTTATAGAAATTTCCAGGAAAATTATCTAAGTGCTCTGTTCTTAAAGCCAAAGAAAACAAGTCAAAGCATACATGAGGCTACTTAGGAAAATACACAAAGTGCCTCTTTCTACACAGCATTCTAAATATGCATGAACAAATCACAATCCTCTCCACAGGCTTAATGACATTAAGCTCTAAATTCTAGGCAAACAGGAATATAACAGGAAAAGAATGTCATAGAACTACATGGAAAACGGCGGTATCCTATAAGAGAAAGGCTGTCAAATGTATAAATTCTTGATCTCACCTTCCAAAATAAGGTCTTATGTAAGACACCCCCAATCTGCGACTGTCCACGTACGGAATGAATATAATACTCGCCACCAGACCTCTCCCACAAGGGCACCCAGCCACAGCACTCACGGAAATGGCTCACCATTTGGCTGTGCTATACAACTTTCAAAAGGGTTCTATGAACATTTGGTCTCCCCTTTTCTTAGAATTCACACCCTGTGTTCAGAAATAAGGACATGCAACTAGAGGCCATGAATCTTCTAAAAATTTAGTGGTTCGTTTGTTCCTTCTATGCATGTGCCAAGAACAGGAAAATCAGAAACTCACGCTGACAGAATATAAAGTAGATGGGCTAGTGCTGATAGGTAGTGAAAATTTTTGATTTTTCCCTCAAAAAATGCCTCTATTAGTAGCACTGACACAACATTATGCATTTCCAGGTACAAATATATATTTATTGTGACAATATCATTATCTCGATTGATTCCAGACTTGTCTCGAAAAATTAAAACTAAAATACACACTTTCTAAAGACCGATAGATCTAACCTTCATCATATCTAAAGCGAGCATTATGGGAAAAAAGGTCAGAGAAGGCAAAGAACACAGCCTGACCTTGGCATGCATGTATGAGACACAGCCAATGAACACGCCAACCCCGGACATTAGCTCAGTTAACTGGATACAAATTCAGGCTCTCCCATTGCCTTTGTTTTGACTGCCAGGGGCATTAGAGCATGGAAGACATCAGTCATAAAAGAAAAATAATTTCATTGTTCACAAAACTTTATAAACAAATAAAGGAAAGGTCAAACCCATAGACTTCAGTCCTGCAATCAGATACCACGTTGCAAACTACAGACTTAAGAGTCAGATGAAGAGTAAGAAGCTAGACATGATTCCACCTAGACCTATTTCACGGGCAGCAAATAGATGCTTCTCACTTTTACTTAGGCTTGCCTCTCCTTTAGGTCAAAAAAGCCTAATTAATGTTTAACACTCAGATGTCATTTTTCTTGAACTAAGTGGAATACATAAATCCATATGACTGGAAGCTAAAAATATTTTTTATTCATCAAAAAATATTTGATGAGCACCTACTACATACTAGGCAGTTCAATAGGTACCAACATTAAAATGTTGGGCAACTCTTCATGAAGCCCACGGGTTACTTAGAGAGACAAGCCTTAAACACATGATTGCAAGCATGAGGAGTGTGGAAAGAACATACAATAGAAACATGTACAAGTGGAAGCTGACCCAGTCTGGGGTTCTGGGAGGACCTCCTAGAGGATGTCTAAAGGAGACTGGGGGGCTGGTCTGGGGGTGGTATGTAGGCAGAACTAGTGGTTTCCTGCAAGAATAAGAAAATGACCACAGCCACAGGAGCATAGAGTTTGAGGGGACCGAGTGACAGCTGAAGAGGATAAAAAAGGAAATCAAACACACATTTCTGAAAAGCTGTAATGTATTACAAAGAGAATGGGCCATTTGTTGGATTAATGGCCATTTGTTAGATGACCTT